ATGACAAAAATGAAAACCAGCGAAGAAATGGCTAGAGTTGCCAAGTTCCCCTTTAATGGAGCAGGTCTCTGATTTTCCCTCCTGATTTTTTGTCTGGGTAGGAATAGGTAATACGTATTTCGGCAATAAAGCCGAAAACAGAATGTGAGGATCCGGTCAATTTGAACAATTTTGTCTTTGACTTTAAAAATCAAACCCAATCAAACATCATTGATGTTTTCAGCAATAAAGCTGGAAAAAAAAACATATTAAAACAAGAATGTAGCAAGTTTGAATAAGCTAACGGCCACTGCATTTACATGCGCAGCTGTTGCCAAGGAGAATTGCAGGAGAGAGGAAAAGATGTCAAGAATGGATAAATGGATGGATTAAAGAGAAGAAAAGATAGAGTCGGGGTGAGGGAAGCATGGAAAGATGCAGAACTAAGACAGAGGGAAGGAAGGAAGGGGAGAAGCACTGTAGGATGGAGAGATGAATAGATGGATGGTGTGATAAAGGCCAACCACTACGGTATTAAATCTTTAATTACATTTAAAAACAGCAATGTGAGGAACTTGAAGAAAAAAAAAACTTGAAGTTTCTGCATCAGTGGGCAGAGCATCACTGTACATCTCTGCAGTCATGTTTTCTCTACTGTATTCCCAGCGCTAAATGAGTGCTAAATAAAAATGAGGCTAAAGTTGTATGGAATTCAGCCAATAGTTGTCAATGTCAGGAAAACTTTTTTGCAGACTATTTTCAGAGAAGAATGAGCTTTTACTCTTGGAAGGTCTAATGCAAATACACTCTAAATCAGTTTTACACTTGGTTTATATCAGCCAGAAAGAGAGGTTAACTATTTCTTTGAGAAAATTGGATGTTGCAGTAGCAACTAAAGGATTTCTATGAAATGTTCTTATACAGAGTACTTAGATTTTCCACACACCACTTGTATACAACAGGTTTGTGATAATCTTATTGCTCATAAGTTGTTATATAACATTAAATTCTAATTGGCCAGAAACATATTCTCATAAAATATTTTGCATCAAAGGTGACTCCGGTCCAAGCTCCTGCCAAGTTACTGTTAAGCTGAATATTAAATCTCTACGAGCCCCTCCTGTCATTTGGCTGACCTCGGACCTCCATGTGCAGGGGGCAAGAGAAAAGGGAATTTCCCTACAGGGATGCACTTTTTCTCCTCATTCCTGACATGTACTGACGTCAGTTAGCTTTAAATCAAATTATATTTAGTCAGAAAACTTTACAGCCATTTACAGAAAACAAAGAACACATAGACAACATAAACAGATAGATTAAGGATAATAAAAACAAGAGACAGGACCACAAACTTGTGATTAGAAGTCTTTATATGTTGCAAATCATTATCTCTTCCAAGACAAGATTTTGAAAGTGTTATGACTTTAGCCTTCTACCTGCTTCATGTCAAAACAGCGCTTGTTCCCATAACTGGCAGGAAGTCGTCTGTGGAAGTTAAGTGAGGGCCAAGGAGTTTTATTGTGTAATTTCTGATACAATGTTTTTAGTGCATCGATAGAAAATATTTGTTCTTTATTCAGTGTACTTATTCAGAAACAATGTAAATTTAAAAATATCAGCGACAGATTGGAACAACACAACAGTAAACATGTCGTCCTACATGAATTATGAAGATGTCTCATGGGTATTGTATAACTTATATGTCCCTTTAGTTTTGAGCTTCCCCTCTAGCTTCCTTTCTGTCAAATTAATGTCATTTTGAATGCTAAAATAAAGAGATGAGAAGTATAATCTGCCCTTGATTCATTAAAATCTCATGGGGCACTTGGGGTCTCATAGGAGGTCCATGTTCAAGTACTACCAGGAAGTGCAAGATTCTGAAAATATTTTCATTACAATATCTACTTCAACAGCAGTTTCTAACCTGCTTTCTTTGTTTGCATGCATTTGCAAGCACCTTTGACCTTTTCCATTATTTTACACCACACAAAATCCATTTTTTCAAATAGAATTGTGTTTTTATTTTAATTGTATATGGAGGGGTAGTTTAAATTGTTATGAAACAACAACAAAAAATAATAAAATAACCAGATCATATATTTCTGACATCATGTTGTGGGCATATTTAGCACACCTGTATAATGTTTACCATGTTCACTATCTTAATTTTAAAAAGTTTAAAAAAAGTTTAAAAAGTTAGTATGCTAATATTTGACAATTAGCTAAAACACAATGTATATTTGAGGCTGATGGAAATGTCATTAGTTAGAGATTTTTGGTCATGAATCAAAGTATTGCACAAATTAAAATTGTGACCTTTGGTAGCTCTAGAAAAGGGAATTTTGAGGGAAACACTTATGTGCCAAATGTCATGGCAATCCTCCCAATAATTGTTGAGACGTTTCACTCAAAACCACAAACATGGACCTCATAGTGGCACTAGAAGAAAGGTCAAGATCACCAAAGTCATAGTGACACATTGTCTGGGCACCATGGATTTTTGTGCCAAATTTAAAGGTAATCAGTGGTTGTCAAGAAAATTCACTCAAAATGATAACCCCATGGTGGTACTAAAAGTAAAGTGGGATGAGTAAGATTCATCCTCAGGGGATAATGAGTGTCTGTACAAAGTGTAGTGATAGTGTCATCAGTGGTGTACTATTCATAAATAATTCTGTGAGGTTTTTCATGGTCAGTCATCAAAGTTAGAAACGTGTAATTCCCAGACATTGCAATTGAGCGGACAAGGTCGAAAACCATGAGCATCTGTGAGACAGCTGTGTTTTTGTTTGGCTGCACATGACAACCAGAAATCTAAATCTAAATATACTGTACTGATACCTCCTGACTATTTTTCCCAAATTAAAACTCTGAAATAACAGCTGGAGCAGTGTGGTAGTGATCTTTTATCTGTCAAAGACGAATCTGGAACGTGTTGGGTGAGAATTTTGGATCTTGGTGTTTTTCTCCTCCTGTTCCTCTTCCATCTCTGTCTGTACCACAGCCAGGGGGAAGTAATAAACTGCAGAGGGATAGAAGTGGTTTTGGATCAGAGCAAGCAGGTTGTCCACATTCTCTGCTGTGAATTCTGGGGAAAAAGAGATAAGGAATGAAAAGGAAAACAATGGCAAAGAGCGAACAGAGAGAGCGTCTGAAAACTAAAAGGAAGACGTGCAGTATGGAGCACACATGTTCTTGCACACAACAGACAGACACTCTTGGTCTCTGTTACCTGGCAGCAGCCACGTTCTGTGATGAAGGGTTAGTGTCTGTGTGTTTTAAGGATGGGAATGGTCTGACCCTTGTTTGTCTGCAAATGTATTCCCGGATCCCAGGAGGCAGGAGTATTGGCAGCAGGAACTCTCAGGAACACACACACACACACACACACACGTTCTCCAGTCTCTCACATACTCACCATAATCTCATTGAGAGAGTCTTATGAAAGAATATTGAGTTAGATGCTCCAGTTGCTGCCGAGCTGCACCGTTATAACCAAACATGGAGCGTCTAGAAAACACACACACACACACACACACACAGGAAGAGAGAAAGAGAGGGAAAATGTTATTTGATAATGATATTATATACTTAATTCCACCCAGGCAAATTAAGTTCAATTGACTGGAGCATGGCAGTTTGGGAGGTCTTGTTTTACACTTTAGTTCACATTGAAGTTGATCCACAACAAAATTGTGTAAAATATCAGCGAGCGAGTGAGAGAAAGATGAATAGATCAAAGAAGAAAAAGAGAGGGAGAGAAGAGTTGACTCTCACAGGCAGCATTCCTCACTCATGACTGTATAAGGAGAAGGAATCAGACACCATAAGACCCCGCTAACACACACACAGATGCACACTCAATGCACGCGCACACACATCTCGTCCTCACTCTCTAGTATTTCTATACTGCTAGTTAAGTTCTTAGTGAGACAGCTCAATCAGGCTAAGTCATCTATTTTGGCTTCAGAGGGATGTTTTAATGACAAAGAGTGTGTGTGGATGTCAGTCGACTGAATATAGAACTTTGATCTGAGCCATTACATAAACCTGACAGACTGACTCCTGTGTGTTTCCTGTTTCCTGCATTCCTTTTTTGTCCTTATTCATAAAAAAAAAACTATCAAGCTAGGATATTTTAAGTTCAGTTTTAAGCTTAATAATAATAGGAAAGCACAGGTGTTACGAATAACATTAATGATGGCTCTGTTCTGTTGAAGTGTCCCAGTAAGTTGTGACAGTGTGACAGTGAGCTGTCCATGTCACTGCTTGAACGTCAAACTGTCCTCAGTGCAAGAGTCTGTTGCGTAACAGGGTCGTGACTGACAGGAGGCGGAGCTTAGCTATTAGTCATGATGTGAAAATCATCAGGACAGAGTGTACTTTACAAGCAGAAAGTATTCATTTATAGCCTGATCTTACAGTTATGATGAAAAATTCTTTGAGACTCTGATAGTGATAGATTATGTTTATTAGCTGATTTGAATTGAGTGCGAAGGAATGAGAAAATGAGAAAACGGATTCTGATGTGAGAAAGTTACATTAAATGCTTGGAAAACAAAACAAACATTTGATCAGTTTGGGAAGTATGCTTATTTGCTCTCTTACTGGGTTAGATTTGATACCACTCTCATATTTGTTCAGTAAATATAAAGCTATAGCCTGCAGCCAGCTGGAAACGGGGAAACTAGCCTAGCTCTGTCTGGAAGTAGTAAAATGTGCCTATCAGTGCTGATAAATCTCAATAATCTTTACCGCTACATTTGTCCTTTTTAAAAATTATCAATATAACATTGAAGTCATATGAAAGAATGCAAAATGTAACATAATTTAAAGTCAACAATCACAGCAACACAAATTGTAACTTAATTGGGATTTAATTGTGACTTTGCAGAAGGAATGGTTGATATTCTTGTGTTCTAACTGCGGCAACAAAGGCACAGTTGGCTTGAGGTAGACGTACAAACATACATATAAACCAGTTCAAATCATTGACATGAAAAATAGACAACATGACTGCTTCCCGGAAGTGAAGCCAAAACATTCTGATCGCCGCCTGGTGGCCATATCCAGGATACTTTGGCTTTATTTATTTTACAGTGACGGGATATGGAATGTTTTTATGCCAATGGTTCAGATAAATCATTGGCCTACTACTTCTGTGTTCCCAGACACTTACTTTGCTGGGGTCAATAGTACTTTTGACCTCGACTGGATATGGGTAGCTTCTCTTCATGGCTTTTCTTTATGTTGACCATGCAGTAAAAACAATAAGGCGGCAGCTAACTAAATTTATGCATGTTGTGTTTGCTAATGTTCGTAATCACCATATGCTCCATGTGTTCAGTGGCTCATCAGCAAAATGACCTCTTCTTCTTTTCTTCCATGTTTGGCCCAGAATTTTTCATTTGACCCTTGATCTTGATTCTCTTAATTTTCTTTTTGTTGGACCATGCAGTTATAAGTGATGAATAGGTTTCCTTATTATTTTGACTCTGTCTGATGTTTATCTTAATGTAATAAATGCATTAATTTGACATAATGCTGGCTGGAAGAGCTCTATGTATAGCTATAGCTCCTCACAATGCGGATCTTTGTCTATAAATCTCAATCTCGTTTATCTCCTCCGTGCTTTCAGTGCTTTGGAAGGATGCATTTTTCTGCCTAAAGATGTTCTCAAGATTAACAGTGCTTAACCAGCTATTGCCTTGAAAGGAATGCTATATGTTGTACATTCTGCACGCCTCCCACAGGGAATGGATGACTCTTTTAAAATAGCTGTTGTGAAAATGGCGCCCAAAAGTAGGCTACGGTAACATAAAGCTGTCCTTCACTACACTCCTGTCAGCTTAAAGGCATTAGTACATGAGAATGTATTTTAATGGCTATGACATACAGTATCTGTAGAGGGTTGGTAGATGGTCAGAAATTTCACTTTCTGGCCTGCACTCTGGCCCCTCACAGTTCAAAGTGTGTACAGTTGAGGGCCTTTATTTAAAAAAAAAAAGCTTCATTTTCAGATAAAGAAAACGAACAAAAAACCTGTGCAGGGTTACGCAAAATTGTTTCCCATTGCAGCGTTGTTTTGAATCCTGGAGTTCGGCAATATGACTGTAGCCATCTTGTTTTTTTTTGGAGTCAGAAGTGACCATATGTGGATGAGAGCATGTAGCTGGCCTACAGAATCTTGATGTATATTTGATCAGCACTGCCCAGTCTGACAGTTTGAGCTGAGTTTGGTGTGTTGAGCTGGACGGACTCACTGAGAATGACCTGTCAATCACAAGGTAGGTAAATTGGACAATAATTTACTTAATGAACATCATGCTGTATGGCGGAAGACATAAAAGTAACGATTGAGACCATAAACTCAT